CAAACTCATTCTACTAAGAGCAAACAAATTTATCCTGTGCATGAGGGTATACAGGTTTGGAGATACTCCACAAGATCAAAAAAGTTGTCTGTGACTAGGAATGGTGATTTTTTATGGGAGATTTAAGTCTGAATTCAGTTAACAAAAATTGTGATAGTAACCCTTCAAGTCGATTAAATTATACTCATGTTATTCAAAAAGAAGTTCATTATACTAATAAATCATATTCTATAAACAGTCAGTAATAAGAATGATGACTCACAAAATCTATTTAGGATTTTCCATCAAAATATTAGGGGTATGAATGGTAAAGTTGATGAGCTCATGATTCCTTTATATAATCAGCTTCCAAATGTAATCTGTTTGACCAAGCATCATTTGATCAATTATGAAATTGATGCTGTACATATTTCAAATTATAAATTTGGTGCTAAATTTTGCAGAAGAAATTTAAAAAATGGTGGTGTATGTATATGTATGTATATACAAGAAGACCTAAAATTTTCTACCATAAATTTACAAAAATACTGTAAGGAACAAGATTTGGAAATTGCAGCTATTCAAATAAAAATAAATAAGGATAAGATAATTATTTTCAGCATAAATAGAGCTCCATCTGGCAATTTTAATTATTTCCTTATTAAACTAGACTTTATACTTAATTTCTTCTACAGACATAATTTGGAATTTATAATATGTGGTGATATCAGTATTAATTATATGGAAACTAGTAGCAAAAACCCCAATTAGATGACATGTTAAATACTTATAACCTAACAGGTATGTATGCTTTCCTACAAGAATCGTTAATAACTCCGCTACCTTACCTGACAATATATTCATTGATAATAGAAGAAGTTATACCATAAAATCATGTATAAATGGATTGTCAGATAACGATGCCCAGCTTATAATACTTAATAATGTCCCTGTACTAAACATGACACCTGAGACTATTTATACTAGAAACATTAATAACAACACTATAGCAGAATTTCAGTATCTGTTAAGCTTGGAACTTTGGGATGATATATTCAGTAATAATAATGTTAATGTTATGTTTAATAATTTTAACAGTACATATTTAAGATGTTTTTATGCTTCCTTCCCAAAAAAAAAGCGAATTAGACACAACAACAACCATAATAAATGTATCACTAATGGGATAAGAATCTCATGTAACAAAAAGAGAACTTTTTTTATTAAGTAGATATAGTAATGATTTAAATTATATTTTAAACAGTACAGTAAAATACTATCAAAAGTAATTTTTGCAGCAAAAAACTACACTATAACAAAATCATAGCTAATTCTAACAATAAAATAAGAAGTACTTGGAAAATAATAAATGAAGAAAGAGGAAAAATAAAGCAAGACGTAGGTATTCATTCCATTGTGACAGACGATAAAGTAATAATGAATCAGAATAAAATTGCTGATGCTTTTGACAATTATTTTTTATCTATAACTGATTCTGTTATATCAGATATTAATAGATATACAAGTATAAATAACCCAACTACTTATTTGGCAGATGTTTTTAATAGACCTTTCACCAAAATGAGCTGGCAATATGCCTCTGCTCAGGAAATTGCAAAAATTATAAAATCATTAAAGACTAAAGATACTTTTGGGTATGATGAGATTTCTAGTAGAATAATAAAATTAAGTACTCCATTTATAATCTCACCATTAACACATATTTGCAATGTGATCCTGGGTACTGGTGTATTTCCAGATCAATTAAAATTTGCCACAGTTAAACCTTGCTTTAAAAAAGGCAAAATACAAGAAATCTCTAACTACAAGCCCATTTTGTTGTTGACTTCCTTTTCAAAAATTATTGGAAAACTTGTTTAATCGAGATTCACTCATATTGAAACTAAGAGTATCTTGGCTCAGGAACAATATGGATTCAGGGCACATCTTCTAACTGAGAAGGTGCATTGTCATTGATTAATAGTATTCTCACAGCCATGAATAATAAGCAGAATGTAGGAGGTATTTTTTGTGACCTGCAAAAGGCTTTTGATTGTGTAAATCATAAAATTTTGTTGGATAAACTGGAATTCTATGGAATAGAAGGTATATTTAAAACACTAATTAAATCTTATCTAACTGGTAGACATCAGAGTTGTTTTGGGTCATATAACTGATAGTAACAATACATCTAAGTGGGAAATAGTTAAATGTGGAGTCCCACAGGGCTCAATTCTTGGCCCCCGTTTCTTTTTATTTTATATAAATGATTTACTTAAAATAATAAATAAGGATAATAACATGGTTCTATATGCTGATGACACCAGTATCATAATTACCGATACTAATAATGTAAACTTTGAAACAAATCTTAACTAAACCTTTAAAGATATAAACACTTGGTTTAATGAATTGTTGTAACACAACAACACAAATTAATTATGATCAGGAAAGTATCTCCAGTGTAACAGAAACTAAGTTCCTTGGTTTGATTATTGATGATTTATTATCTTGGAAACAGCATACTGACCTAGTGATCAGTTGATTATCCTCTGCGTGCTATGCATTGCGAAATATAAAACATAGTGTATCGTTTGCAACGTTAAGGCCAATCTACTTTGCTTACGTACACTCCATCATGAGTTAAGGTATAATCTTCTGGGGTGGCTCCTCTCATGCCAGGAAAGTGTTTATCTTGCAAAAGAAATTTATTAGAATCGTAATGAACGCTAAACCTAGAGATTCTTGCAGGGATATTTTCAAGAAATTGGAAATTATGACATTATATTCACAGTATATATACTCATTACTTTCATACATAATTAATAACAAACATTTATTTAACTTTAATAACGAGATTCATGAATATACAACTAGATCCCAGGGTAATTTACCTGTACTTAGTGTGAATACTTCAAAATGTGATAAAAGAGCTTATATAACAGGTATTAAAGTGTTCAATCATCTTCCATGATCAATAAAGACTTTGGTCAATGATGAGAAAAGCTTTAAATTTACATTAAAGAGGTTTTATGTCATCATTCTTTTTACTCTATAAACAAATACTTTCAATATAAAGAAGACAAAGGTTTCTAATCCAGATATTCTCTTGAATTGTTTGCTAGGTTGATTTTACACACGATATATTACCCACTGTCTAGTCGCTGGGCATTTAAGGGTATAAATTTTATGGAAGTATGGTATTGTAATAGACCATCTGTTTTAAATAACACCTGACAGTAAACAATTAAGATGGTCATGAATGGTTTACTTACAGCTCATTTACTTTTATCCTGTAGAGGAATATGTTAACTGTTTTCAAATTTTAAAGTTCTTGCTATGACTGATTGTATAGAATGAATTTTTATTATATATTCTAATTTTTAAATCCTGATGAATTGTATTATATTTGGACTGTTAAATTAAGTATTTGTAGTTATGTGATGGAGATAATCGCATTAAACTTCCATATTATGAATAGGTCTTTTCTATCAATTTATGATTGTGACGATAATCATATATCTGCATAAATTTGATCATATTTGAATATTTTATGTGCAAAGTTTGTACTGTGATTGTACTGCATGTTGATGGGTCCACTGTTTTTATGTATTTTGACATGTTCTATATCCTATGGCATGCGTGACCTGAAAGGATCTATGGAATTTAAAATAAAGTGAAGTGAAGTGAAGTCATACAGTGGAACCTCTATTTCATGTTCATTATCTAAGGTTCTCTCTCAACATAACATTCAATTTCAATGATCCTAAATCAACAATCTAGTGTTAAATTTCTTCCTCCTCCTCCGTTCAGTACTCAAATCCATACTCAAGGAAATCTTAAATAGGAGTTCCACCATATTTTAGACAACAGGAAGTTCAAAGCTACCAAAACACAATGCTCTCCAGAATGTCTAAAGGCATACTGTTCATAGTGAACTCTACAGAAATCAGCCAAATAGTCCAAGTTGATGATGGTGGAGCACAATGATTAGGGCTGTTAATTTGGGCTTCATCCATCATCTGTTTGATTCAATCCTGAAAATAGTCTCAGCATGTTCTTCCGAATGTCAGTAAACTTCTACCAGGCTACATAACATCACATCTCAGAAGATACTACTCTTCATAGTTACTGCTGTGAGAACCTTAAATATCACAGTCATATCTAGTTTATTCCAATCGACAGTTTTATTGCTAATACGTTTTACTTCACAGAGTGAAATCCTTATTTTCAAACACTATAGGCAGAATGTAAAATTCATGAGGTTAGAACTGCCATCTCTTGTGCAATATATACATAATGAAGTATCCACATAGATTATGTCCCAGACCATAAAAATAATAAATATTCTGTAATAGGAGCTGTATGACGATCAGCTCTGGAACACAATTATCTTCTTGGAGTGTGGCAAAAGGAATTCTGAAAAATAGATTGTGCTAAAGAAGGATCCAAATTTGAAACCAAACAAAAGGTATGTAATTAGATCACTGATGTACTATTGGTTAAGACACTATCTCAGAACATGAAACATTCAAATGTGAGTTTGATGAATAAACAGTAATCTCTACTGATAAGGAACATAATATATAAATTTATATCATAATCAAAAACAATAAGAAATCAATTATAAAAACTAATGCTGAGGAAATAATTAATGTTATAGTCATAAACTGCAACTGTAAATCATACATTATTCATCCGCAGCCGATTACACACTAATAACAAGCAAAGACATGGCAACAGAGTGCGACAAGTCAGTACACTTGTGCAAATCTGATTTCCTCTTGATATTTCCACACAAGAAAAGAATACAAATTCCTTTGGACTGTTCCCCACACTGAGGCTGAAAACATTAACACATGATGTGTTGGTTCATTATGTCAGCAACACAATCACTGCCAACCCCATACCAGCCAATGAACTGTCTGCTTATGATGCAAATTCTACCTTGATCCATCATGATACACATGGCTGACATAGTATTTAATACACTATGATTCAGTGCAGTCCTGCAATGGTTTCCAACATCAACATACATATTATGTCTTTTTTCACCAACCAGAAATTCTCCAGCTCTCATCTCTTCATTTTTCCCTGGAGAAGAAAAAGGAAGAAAATCCGAATCTTGATAAACAAAAATGTAACATATATTTCCCAAGAATGACATGACTATACAAAGTGGTGACATGAATGAGGGCCCTTGTATACTTTCACTTTAATCATAATGTCTTTCCAATTATTTTTTCCACTTCACCACAGCATTACTTCTGTTGTCTAGATTACAAACACACACAACGATAGTTATCTTTTCTCTCCTGGTTTCTGTCATTCCCCATGGTTTATTCAAACATATATACAGTGGCCGAACAAAATAATGGAAACACTACAGATACCATATACATTTCTTTATGAATATGGTATTGGACCACCTTTTGCCTTCTGTACAGCAGCAATCTTTGGAAAAAAAAAATGCACGTTTTGAAGAGCCTCTAGAGGAATTTTATACCATTCTTCTTGAAGAACATCTTCAAGTTGCTCTAGAGATGTTGGAGGTGGGAATCTGTTCCTCACTCTAGTATCCAAAACCGACCAGAGTCGTTCAGTGAGGTTCAAAGCTGGTGATTGTGCTGGCCAGGAAAAATGCTGAAAGTTCACCTTCATGCCCTTCAAACCAAGACTGAACAGTTCCAGCTGTGTGAATGGGGACACTGTCATCTTGGAAAACTGCATCGTTGTTTGGAAATAATGTCTGAATCGTGGGATGCACCTGATTACTTTACCTGTCCACAAATTCCCTTGCAGTAATTTGACCACGAGGGGTAATAATGGTGCCAACAGAATACACTACAACAATACTGCTGGTCAAACTATCACAGAACTCCCCCCTGTTTCACTGTTGGAACTGAACCAGGCATTCCAGATGGTAGGCCTCCTTCCTCCAAATGTAAACTCTTCCTGATGTAGGGAACGGCATGAAGGACGACCCATCTGACCATACCGCACGTTTCCAGTTGTCTGATGTCCAGGTTTCATGGTCATGACATCATCATTTATGCATCTGAGCATTACTTTCAGTTCTCAGAGGTTTAGCAATTGCAGCCTTACCATCGATGTTGAACTTGTGAAGCTCACATCAGACAGTTTTTGTGGAAACAGGGTCTACAAGATGAATATTCAGTTCTGCAGTCACCTGTGATGCAGTATTTTTTTTCTACAAAACAATCCTTGTCAATGTACAATGATCTCTTTCTGTCAATGTTGATTTTCACCCACTGTTCCTCTTCACTGATGTTGTCTTTCCATGGTTCATGTAGGCCAACATAACCTTAGAAACTGTTGCTCTCAATATATCTAATAACGTGGAAGTTTTCATCACAGATGGCCCAACTAAATGTGCACCAATGATCTCTTTCAGTATTGGACAAGTCTCCCATTTTCTGATTCTTTCACTTGGTCTGTCACTAACATACTTACATGAGCACTACAAAGTGAAAATAAATGGAAGCACATTCAGTGTTGACAACTGAAGTTCTTTCAATGTGGCCAGCACAAATTATATTCCTCAATTTCTTAGGGTTTCCATTATTTTCTTCACTCATTGTACATACGTATATATCTATAAAATGCACAACAAATCACTGAAGGTCACAATGCAAGGGCCAGTTTAAGCCTACCCCTTATGAATTCATTCATAGTGTGTATGTGTATACACATACACAAGAAAGAGAGCATGCACACATGTGTCTGAGATCAATAAACAAAACAAAATAAAGATTAGCCATCTTCAAAAACTTCAACTACACCCCCCCTCAAAGAAAAAACCAACTTATGACAATGTTGATATTATTTATTACTAATAATAATAATAATAATATATATATATGCATTCATATACACCATACAAGAGAAAAAGTAACATTACATGCCAACAATACAGCTAAGGTCTGTATACACAGAATCACCAAGTGATGCATTATCGATGACATGTCATTAAAGGACGATTGTTGAGACAGATGAAGGTTGCAGACCCAGAAGCCATCATACAAATCCAAGCCTTTCTTCTTGATCTACCAGCACACACAACTTTCTATCCGAATACCCCGAACTGGAAGCAAGTTTCTGCCATATAGAGGAAGCAGTCACAGACCTTAACAGACTGAGATAACTGAACAAACTACTGAAATAATCAATGCCTTTTGTATTATATATCTAAATTACAGCTGTAAAAATGACAGTACTTCCTATTATACTGTAACGTGTTTGGAAAAGACTCTTCCATAGTAACGCAACAACAGTGAGCCGTTGCGTCGAATCTCCGCGGTTACAACGAATACACGGAGCGTTCCCGCAGAGACAACACAATAACAGTGGGTCGTTGTGTAGGAATTCCAGATTCAACAAAACAGCTTTTCCACGGTTATAACAGAGGGTTCATTTGCATAGCAGCGGCCGAGGGTATAAAAAGGTGTTGAATGCATTCGCCAGAGAGTCTTGGGGCAGATGCCAAGAGATACAGAAGTAAGTCTTGGAATAGCCGCCGCTGAAGAAAGTTGAAATATAGCAGCCGACAGTGGAACAAGAAGTAATTATAACAGTGAAGCAGTGGATAATGATTGTACTCGTAAGTGTATAAGTGAAGCGTCCAATAAAGATTCGCTGAATCCGAGACCCACACAGTTATTTGTCGCGTGCCATACCCAACACGTGACAACTGGTGTCAGAAGTGGGATCAGTTCGGATTAACCGGATCAAACTTAAAAGATTGGACTGCACACGTGACCGACAAGGAAAAATGGAGCCACAACAAATGATGGAATTCCTGCTAGCCATGCAGGCAAAGGCCGATGCCAGATACGAAGAAGCGAAGATCAACCAGGCAAAAGCGGACGCCGATAGAAAGGCCATGCAAGAAAGGACGGATGCCAACATGAAGACCAGCCATAAAGAGTTGTTGGCCAAACTAGAGGACGACAGACAGGCCAATATGAAAGCATGGCGAGGGGAGATGTCCGCCATGACAGACAAATGGGGTAGCGACAGCCACATGGAGACGATGGCCTGCCAAGTGATGGAGGCACGGCGAGATGAGGAGCCGTCCTCAGTGGACAGGAAACCTGAGGTGGCACAAAAAGTAGAGTTCCCCGTGGTAGACGCCGAAGTGATGCCAGTCAGAGAACCGAAGAGAAAAAGACGCAGGGACCGACACCTGGCCGAAGAGCGCCGCCGCCAGAAAACGAAGGATTCAAGGCGGGAAATTCGTGAACCCCAGAAGAAATTGACCGTCGCCCACAGGAGGACAACACGACGTTTGGAAGTGGCACAGAAAACGCAAATAGACCAGAAGGTATCCCGCCGTGCAACAGTGAGATGACGTAGAAGAGATGCCCTCAGGAAAGAATGGACCCAAATTCAGGATAGGCACCAGAAGAAATATGTCACCGCTTCCGGCAGGTTGTCCCTCCATGCACGAGTAGCACGACGCAGGGGACACATCATGGGGATCAACCAAACTTGGAACAACGTTGCAAGAGGAGCCCCCAAAGGGCAGAGACTTCAGGTGGAACCGGAGGGCAACATTAGAATGGAGAACGAATACACAAGACAGCGGCTGCACCCTAAGAACGAGAGGTACAGGAAGGCCATCAGGCTGGAAACTGCGAAGCTAGCAGTAGGACTTTCCAGCAAGATACCGAAAACGAGACACTGGACACTGTGGAGGGGTCGACCCCTTCCAAAGTGGAAAAAGGAAAACGACCCGCATGGGAGGAACCAGTAATAGAAATGCCGACCTCCCTAGGAAGAACAAATGAATACTGAATGAGCAAAGAATGAATGTAAAACAACGCAATCGACAAAATCTCGGCTACGGGAGTGCTCGGGGTGAGCACCACTGAAGAGGGGCAGATGCAGCACAATGAACAGTGCCGAAAGACGCCAGCAGAACACCAAGACCGAATGCAGATGTTGCCAGCAGAACACCGCGGAAACAAAACCAAGGAAGAACCTTTAGGCTGTTCAGGAACGAACAACCTTTAGAGGGGAGCAATGTAACGTGTTTGGAAAAGACACTTCCATAGTAATGCAACAACAGTGAGCCATTTCATCGAGAGCGTCAAATCTCCACGGTTACAACGAATACACGGAGCGATCCCACAGAGACAACAGAATAACAGTGGGTCATTGCGTAGGAATCGCAGAATCAACAAAGCACGTTTCCACGGTTATAACAGAGGGTTCATTTGCATAGCAGAGGCCGAGGGTATAAAAAGGGGTTGAATGCATTCGCCAGAGAGTCTTGGGGCAGATGCCGAGAGATACAGAAGTAAGTCTTGGAATAGCCGCTGCTGAAGAAAGTTGAAATATAGCAGACGACAGTGGAACAAGAAGTAATCATAACAGTGAAGCAGTGGATAATGATTGTACTTGTAAGTGTATAAGTGAAGCATCCAATAAAAATTCGCTGAATCCAAGACCCACGCATAGTTATTTGTTGCGTGCAATACCCAACATGTGACAATATGTTCAAAAAATGTTTTTTTATTTTAATGTGATCAGCTAATTTTGACCAATTTCAATTAATAGTGCTTTCTGCTTGAACTGCTTTCTGACCAACCAAGAGGCAGGGAGAAGCATCAGCAGATTATTTTTTGTCTGAGGAGGAATGCCAGGGAAGAAGGAAAAATTATGTTTGATTTATATGATTTTGACCTTTGTAACTTTTTAATTGGAACACAACTACTGCATAAAAACTTTACATATCACTTCAGTGACTTCTGGAATAAATCAGCCTATAATTTTTGGCATATGGTACAAGAACTTTGGTGAAGAGAAAAATGTCTCCAAACAACAGAAGGCAATTTCCAGCTACAACTTGGCTGACACAGGTTTCTTACAACAGTCTCTTTTCTCTGAATGTCCCCCTCAACTTTCCTCAGAAAAAGTGTGGACTATTTGTGACCCTTATGATCACATTAACTAGCAGTTTCCTCCACACATATAGTTCTTTCAGAGCAGTATTTAACACACACAGAATTTCCCTCCTTTTTATCCATTCATGAACCCAGTACATTTGCTTATTATGCTAACATGTTTATGGTCTAAGCATTTCTACAAGAACATCAGTGCTGCTAAAATGACCTCTCCTGATCCCACTTCAACAAAAATTAGTGCCATTAACACCTTCTCATGTAAACACTTGATGCTGCATCATTAAAAATGTATCATGTCACTAAGTAATGCATCACTTAATGGCACTGTATACATGAATGAGATTTCATATATTTAAGAGTATCTGATATTTATGTAACCATTTTCTCTGGAAACTACTAGACTCCTTATGCTTTCTAATTCAATACTTGAAACATGATGCAATGTGCTGTTGCATTTTAGAGGAATTCATTCTTCATAGAATCCCATGGTATCCTCCATTTTTTCAGTGGTATGTTAATAATAATTTGCTATTTTATTTTACTTTGGGAGTGAAGAAATGCAACAGCATAAATAGCACAAAGTTCAGGAGCCATGTGTAAGGTACTTGTTTCACTTCTGAATACAATTACATTACTATACAAAAACTATGTAAATAAAAAAAGAAATACGGATATTATAATCCCAGGAGTAGATAAAAAAACATTTTCATTTCTCAGCCTCACAAGAAGCTTTACAGCAGCACCCTATTGTTGCGAAGAAAGGGAAGGAAATAATTTCCCACAGACTAACCCTTATCATATCAGTACTTGAGTTGTTCCACAGAACTGTATACAGTACAACATTTGGTGAAACTGATACAATAACATTCATAAATGGAGCTGGTTACAGTACCATCTATAGTACAACTTTGTGTTCTTGTACTGCTAGCTCATTCTATCAGAATTATTTCAATGAAGTAATATGAGTAGCAAAGTACTTTTAAACTTTGGAGGAAACACTAAAATGAAAATATGTAAGTAAAACAGCCACGGATGTCTCAAACTGAAATGTCCATCCACACCACAAAAATATAACAATCCTGGGTTATAAGATCAAAAATAACAAAACCCTGTGACAAGTCTCACTTTAAACATGACGCTATAAAGAACAAACCCTATCATCAAAAATATGATACGTAAAAATACAAAGCAGACATCTGTTTATATTACACGTAATAATTACCCCCACTGAATCAAAATATACTTCAGTACAGAAGATTTTGTAGATCTTCGTGAAATTACATTTATGGTTCAATCAAAATAATTTATATCTTGATTCCTTATAGTACACTACATTACAAATCATAAAGATAAACTGCACAATCACCATATAATGATTACTGTACTATACAACTTGAATCATCACACCTCAATTCTGTCACACCTAAATTAAAGTTCCCATGGCAGGTGGCATTATTTTTTGAGTAGCTTCTTTATTTCCTTGTTCTGTTGTACGATCGTGAAGTCAGCCTTATCTGTCTTGTCATTAATCCGGTCTAACATATCATTTTGACAATCAATTTCCTCTCCAAGTACTTCAGCAAGGCCTTTGAGATGTGACAGAGAAGTACACATGTCCTCAAGGTTCCTATCTACAACATTTTGCAGATTCTGCCCACTGGATGTTTTATGTTGACTCCATGTATCGCCATCCACACCAAGGTCACGAATCATGACACCTATATAAACAAATAAAATGGAGTGTCTTACTACAACTGAGGTAAAAGTATGCAGATGTATGATGGTGGCCTACCTAAATCTTATTTCTCAATTTGCAAAAGAGGTTTCACCCAGATATTTGTGCAACTTACTATCTCAGAATCAATAAAGTGAATCACTGCTGGCTTGATGACTGGGGTTGGAGCCACTCACTTCCATCTGGTGCTGAGGTTAAGAATGGTGAAGTTATACATCCATTCCTCCATTCATTTTCATGGCACAGTGCTTAATTAATTAGGCACAGAGACAACTTTACCTTTTGCACATACAGAAGTAGTTCTCGTTCAGAACTTAGTATGTTACTCTAAGTGTTCTGTTACTATCTGGGAAAGAATGAAGGACCAAGAGTACCATTCAAAAGAACACTCTTCCTTCAATACAAATGTCTGGATTTTTTGTTAAAACCATGTCACTGTACACAACTCAGCATGGCTGAAGCAAAAACTGCATGGAACTACAACTTTATTCAAAACAGCAGCACAAAACTACAAAGAGATTGTGAATACTTCAAATTACTATGGAATACTACTTATAAATAAAAATAAAAAAAATTATGAAATGCTGAATATATGTACTGCACAATTTTTTTATTGCTAGTGGGGTGGGACTAAGTCCCTTGTACTGTGGCCACTTCTGGCCTACTGTACCAGCCCCAGATGATAGGTGAGGGTGATTGTGGAGCAATTGGTGGAATGAAGATTGGCAGGGAAAACAGAAGTACTCAGAGAAAACCTGCCCCAGCGCCACTTTGTCCACCACAAATCCACTTGACCAGACCCGGGATCAAACCGGGTCTGCCGCGGTGGGAAGCCAGCGACTAACCGCTTGAGCTATGGCATAGCCTACTGCACAATTAAAGACATAATGAAGAATGCCAAACAGCACAAGAAGTATTAGTGCCTTTTGTCTGGAACTGATGGTATCATAGCTGAAATGATAGCTTACTAAGTACATAGATGTTAATTCAAATACCAGCACATCCAGTATCTCTTAATCATGAATAAATGGAGAAATATACTCATGAAGATTAAATATACATCCCATTGTCCCTGCCACTATTACAAACAGAGTACTATGGCACAGTCACTAGTACTCCTGCTTCTTACTCAGGAGGTATCCAGTTGGAATTTCAACCAGAAAACCATTTTCTCTGGGTTTCTTTGGGATGGGGGTCCTGATTCCCTTCAGGTAAATTCTGGGTTAATATCTGAAACTAGGTCATAACTGCTTCCTTCCACATCGCTTACAAATAATCATTCATAACATCATATTATTTCTCATTTAACAATATATAAACAAAGCACCATTAATTAACCAAGAACCAAGACCAATTATAGCATGCCAGCTACACCTGAAGCCCTGCTCACCTTTACAGTTTAAATTTCAAATTCATTAATTTTTAAAGTCATAAATCATATCATTCCAGTACAGTAAGAGGAGGAACCGGGGTAGTGAAGTTGGTATAGTGACTGGCTACGGGGTGGACTGAGGGGTCAGAGTTCAAGTCCCGGGAGGGTCAAGAATTTTCTCCAAATCGTCCAGATTGGCTCTGGAGTCCACCCAACCTCCTATCCAATGGGTGCCATGGGCTCTTTCCCCAGCAGTATAGCAGTGTGAAGCTAACCACTCACCTCCAAGTAGTGCAGAGGTCAAGAGAATGTGAATCTATACATCCACCCCCCCCCCATACCTTCATGGCATAGTGATTAATTCGTTGAGCACAGGGACAACCTTACCTTACAGTAAAAGGACCAGTCCTACCACCTAACACCATTCACAGGAACCAAAACAGGAACAATGTAAATGAATGCTGGACTTTTGGAATACATCATGTGTGACACAAAGAGACTGGAAGACCCTTCTAAAATATGTCCAAACCAGGGAAATCTACAGTGAATACAAAACAGGAAAAATTCAATATCTCATGGTTCATCAAATCTTGCATTATTGTAAAGGTGAGTAGGCATGAATCCTTCATATTTTGTGATGACTTTCAGTTATATTTTGGGTCATAACAAGTCTAACAGATGAATATCCTAGGATTTGTTAGACAAGAAAAAATACACAAAATATTCTGAAAAAGTGAAGTGCGTAACAAACATACAGAAGCATGGAACATGAATGAATGAATGTACAAGGGGTGGGCGTTCTCGGCCCTTGCACCGCAACCTGCAGTGGTCTATTGTGCTTCCCCTTTTGATTATCCCCTCAGTAATCCTGCGCTTCGAATGAAACGTGGGATTTGGTACGTGGGGGCGTCAAAATAGTCACTTTGTTCCATGAAGTACTGACCCAAGTGACGTAATCTTAAATAAGCTAAGGCCTCACATTCACACAGGATATGTGTGTGGCTGTTTCAGTTTCTTCTTGACACCTCTCACAAGTGGGACTATCACTTAGTCCCAGTTTGAAGAGGTGTCCTTTAAGGTGACAGTGTCCTGTAAGTAGTCCCACCACCCATCATAGCTGGTTCCTGTTTAACTTCAACAGTTCCTTCGCTCTTTTAGCTCCGGGTCCTCGTATGAGTCCCTTTGCTTGCCTAGTCCAGTCAAGGATCCCCAGTATTTCTTGTAAGTATGGAACATAATGAGGCAGCAACAGTCTGTCAGATGCATAGAACAATGAGATGACCAAAACAGGGCAGAATAATATCATTATTACTAAATTTGTCCCAATCAAGCAGAATAATGTGTCATCATCAAAGTGGCATACCATGTTATATTTTCAACATAAATTCAAGGGGATCTATTTTCAGCTTGACATACCATGTTACATTTTCAACATCAAGTCAAGAGGATCTATTTTCAGCTTGACATACCATGTTACATTTTCAACATAAAGTCAAAAGGATCTATTTTCAGCTAACTTCCAGCAGTTATACTTTGGTACAAAAACAAAATATACTACTACCACACTATGAAGTACTGTTATGTGTGTAGAAACTTGGAAGGACATCAATGTGCGACGGAACGCTAATTGGGAAACAACATTCCATGGAGTAAAGTGCCTGAAATACTGCAATATTGTGTTCAACAATTTCCTGGTTACTTTACAGCAACAGTTAGAAGGTCACGCAGTTTCTCTTCGACAAATAAGTCACTGACATTACCTGGATGGTCTCTAGCTTGTGAGCCAAGATTTTCTCTTGAATTTTCTAAATGGCTGGCTAATTGGTTAGGAGTTTCTATCTTCTTGGAAGTACCAGATGAACTGCCTGAATCCTTGAAGCTTGGGCCAGGAATTCGCTCTCCAGACTTCCCACTCAAATAATTCTTGAAACTTCCGAACACACTCTACAAAATGCCATGCATTTCAATACATATCATTTACCACATGTCAAACTATCACATTACATGTGCCAACAAAAGCAATAGTGATTGGTCACAATATTTTAACTTAAGCCTAATATGAATCTAACCCTTACGTGTCTAAACTATGTGATGGAATACAATAATGAGTTTCTGTATTACAAGTGTGACATATATAAATTCACTGTGAAATATCATTTAAATGTACATCTGTCAGTACTAAATTTATGCATGAAGATAGCACATAGAGAAATTTACATGCAACAGCTAGATATTTTGTTAATTGCTTGCAATAAAACAATACCACTTAAAGCATAAAAAAGTAATAACTAAAATGCAACTACTGCACTATTTCAAAACATAATCATCCTGCGGGGTAAAAGGCAGCCAGTGCATAAGTTTGACAACCTCAATGCCATCTGTGAGACAACTGTCTAGAGTATGTGGGAACCTCGATGTCCCACAACCCTGTGGGCCTCCGTGGCCTCTTACAGGGATAGCTTTACCTTACCATCTTTTACCAACTCTGCTGCACTGGTACATGAATGGAAGAATAAAATCTTGTAACCCTTAAATGGAATTATTTGGCATTCCAATTGAATTAAAGAATGTAATAAATTTTAATGTTTTTAAGAAGAAACTTAAGAATTATTTGATGTGTAACGTTTTCTATTCTCTTCAAGAATTTGTTAATAATTGTCGACATAGACTGCTTGTTAATAAATCTGTCTATATGTTTAAAATATTTATTCTTGTGTCTCTTTTAGAGTATCTATTATTCTTAAATTAAGTTAACTGGATAAGAAATCCAAGAACGCTAAAAATTCGGGGGGAGGGAAAAAACAGTGCAAGTTAATCATCAAATTTGAGCAATTNGGGTATTGTACGTTGCATTTACTGCCAAAGAAGTAACGGGATGCTTTTAAGACATTTAGAAAAGAACCAGGATGCCATCCCGCTGCATTCCTCCCCACCTCAAGCCCTGTCTATATATGCACTTAACCTATAGAGAAGGATACTGGGAAAAAAAAAAAATTGTATGGAAACACAGAGTCCTGATACTCGGGGATAGTCATGTGAGAGGATGTTCAGACCTAATAAATATGAAGTTAAATAAAGAGTTTGGTGTCAGTGGAATTGTGAAACCAGGAGCTAAATCCAGAGACATCCTAAATACCAATATTGAGAAAACCATGCCAAAGGGCGATGTTATAATAGTGTGCACTGGCAACAATGACATTAGCAAGAATAGTGCTAAGGAAGGAATAAGTAGCATAATTAGCTTTGCTAAAAAGACCAGTCACACCAACAGTATTGTAACTAAAGCTCTACACAGACTGGTCATGTGTCAACAAAGAAACCATATGATTCAAAAGACTTCTAACAAAAAGGCTCAAATTACATAAACACGTGACAATCAGCAAGGTAAATCTAAACAGACATCATTTCACAAACCACGGCCAGCATATGAACTACAAAGGAAAAGAAAAGACGTGTCAACAGATAGCAGAATTGGTACAACGAAAGGTTGGGGATAGAGCAAATGCTATACCACTAAAATACAAGCAGGGAACTGTGCATGAAGAGGCCACGTTAAGAACACAAGGAGGAAACTGTCCATGTGGAGACTGCAGAAAGCCAAGGGAATGAAGCTGATGAAACCTTAGTCGACCCATCTCCCAACAGTGTGGTACCATTGGAAGTAAAGCAACATCAGGAAATTTGGATGTCAACTAGGAAAAGGAAGCTCCCAGAAAAGCTAAGTAAAGACTTTTTATGGATGAGAATAGCACTGGTACTCTCAAGAATACTAATAAAATAAGTGCAACCATCCAATTATTACATCAAAATATTCGAAGTCTAAATAACAAGAAACTAAATATAGGTGCCATTATCAAACAAAACGTTAGAATCCGATATACTCTGTATCACTGAACACTGGTTGGATGAAAGAGAAATAGGTTATAACTTTGAAAACTATTCCTTGATATCAAAATTCTGCAGGAAAAATAAACTGCAAGGAGGCTCATGCATTTATGTTAAAACAAATCTAGATGCAAAACCCTGTAACCTGTTTGAAAGCTTAAATCAAGAAGAACACTTTGAGGCCAGCAAAACTGAACTTATACAATTTATAATACTATCATAATCTGTATATATAGAACCCCTAGTAGCAATATCAGCATATTTATAAAAAAATTGGACACTATGCTTAGCAATCTGACCAATAAAGGAAAGAACATTATTATAGCAGGAGATCTCAATGTAGATTTTCTAAAAAGAAGTGTAAATCCACAACTACAGACAATGCTAGACTCATATGGCTTGCAAGCAATAGTTGATGTCCCAACAAGAACAGGACCTAAAAGTCAAACAGCCATAGACCAAATAATACTAAACAAGGGCTTATGGGAATACAACTTTAAAGCGGCGGAAATGGCTCTCTGACCATAATGCCCAAATACTACAAGCACAAATGCATTATAAGAACAAAAAAGGACATGGTAGAATAACTAAAGAGTTCAGATTAGCCAGATCTTATAGTGAGGAAAACGTACAATATCTAAACAATTTACTAGGAAAAGAGACCTGGGAGCCTGTTTTTAAACATAATGAGGCAAATGATGCATACAATGAATTTTAGGCATCTTTCAGTACTATCACAATATAGCTATGCCTAAAAATGGGTAAAAATTAAGCAGCAAATAAATACATGGATTACCTTAGGCATAAGGGTATCAGGACTCTTCATAGCTTAATGAAGGAAACACATCTGAAGAACTTAAAAAATACTATAACCAGGACAAAAAATATACAACAAAATTATCAGTGAGGCTAAAAAATTAAGCAACAACATGCGAATACGATCATCCGCGAACAAATCAAAAGTCATGTGGGATTTAATCAAAGAAGTAGGCAATCAGCAAAAAGCTCCAAAGAACATTGAACTAAGAGTGAATGGAACAACTATACAGGATCCAAAAGTTATAGCCAATGTTTTTAATGAATATTATACTAACATTGCCCAGCACAAAACAATGAAGACAGGATAAACACGATAAAATACAACAGCAATAACATGTTCTTAACCCCAACCACTGAAAGGGAGGTGGTAGACATAATTAAAACACTGGGTAACAAAAAATCAACGGGCATTGACGATATTCCAAAGTTCATTATTAAAAAATGTCATCCTCAACCAGCAAATGCTCTAACATACGTAATAAATCTGTCAATTTCATCTGGTTATTTCCCCGACCAACTAGAAATAGCAAAAGTGAAACCCTTGTATAAAGAAGGTTGTACTGCAGATGTTGGAAACTACAGGCCAGTGTCATTAATTTCGGTGTTTTCTAAAACAATCGGAAAAATTGTGCACAATAGACTTTTATAATTCATAAATAAGTACAGCATAATCAACAACAAACAACATGGATTCTACAAAGGAAAATCAACACATACAGCAATCACAGAATTTACAAAAAGGGTTTACAAAGCACTAGATGAAAAAGAAACGAGTACAGGGATATTTTTGGATTTATCAAAAGCACTCAACCTAGTAGATCATGATATATTGCTAAGATGGAAAGAATGGGAATACGAGAGGTTACACTAAGGTGGTTCCAAACATACTTAGAAAACAGAGAACAAGAGGTAGAAATTACATATAGATGTAAAAAAAACTAATCAAAACATTAATTACCTATCCTGAAAGAGACCCATCAGCGATGGCGTCCCACAAGGTTCTGTTATGGGACCAGTGTTGTTTCTTTTATACATAAACGACCTGGAGGCCGGCATAGAACCTGGGAAACCTATGCTCTTTGCTGATGATACTAGCATTTTTATAGTAGGAAATAGCGCTAACAAAATTCAAAGGAAAACTAATGAAACAATAAACAAAATCACAGTGTAAGATTTGAGGCTTTCACGGCGGTGACTATGAAGAAAGCAGTCTTCTGGGATTTGGCGCCGTGTATATGTGGTGTTAACCGACGTTTCGGAGGAATGTATCGCCCCCATCTTCAGGGCTTTACCGTGTCTCACGGTGTTGTCACTTGCAGATTTACCTATACTTTTTCTTCAACCCTGAAGTTGGGGGCGATACNAACAACTTATGTAAAGTATGTTTTGGCCTAAGGGTAGTTAGAAGAATGACTGGACTAGATACTGTCAGCACATTATATTATGCTTATTTTCAATCTTTGTTATCATATGGACTGATATTTTGGGGCAACTCGGTAAATGCAAAATTGATCTTTAAATTACAGAAGAAAGCTATAAGAGCTATGACCCAGGTCCCAAAAAGAACTAGCTGTAAACAAATTTTTGAATCATTACATACGATGGGGTACCCAAAAGAAACCGAACTATTTTTTTTGTGGGCAGAGCTTTTGTAGTACCGCGTTTTGCCGCTATGAGC